CACTTCGAGGCGATGATCCCTGCTGAGGAATGGCAGAAACGTGGTGACCACTGTTGTCAGCTGCTTGCTGCATGCTTTGACCAAAGTGCAGAGGGCAGGTTCGGGGTTGTGTGGCTGGAGGGTCCTGGAGCAGCAGCTGTGCAGAGGCAGGGGTGGCACCTAGAGGCTGACTTGGGCTTCCAGCTCTTGTTTTACCACCAGCTCTTCCATGCACTGGGTATTTCTGCAGGGTCTGTGTGTGTGTGTTGCCTGCAGAGTGGCTGTAACAGCATTGCTGCCATAGCTGAGTTCTGCTCTGGTTCAGTTGTTCTGGTGTCCCTTGCTGTGAAAACCAAACTGTTGGTGCCCAGTGTCTTCCTTCCCACATGCTGTTCCTCCTTACTGAAGCCTATAGCCAGTGCTTATGGTTTGCTTTGTTTCTGCTTCCATTTTTTTTCATTCATTATTTATGTTTCTGCTCTTATTTTCCATGTCCCTGGAATAAAATCTCCAGTGAAGGAAGCTGAGTAGCTCTTCTCTGAGCTGGGTTTGGAACTAATACTCAGACATTGGTCTTTGCAGGTCCCCACAGCTTGTAATATTTGAGGTGACATATGGCAACACGGGTTCATCTGGGAAGCTTTTGGGAGAGAGGAACAGACCTGGGGAAGTATCACTGTGGGTGAGATAGAGCTTTGACCCACCAGGCCTGGGACCTGTGCAGCTCTTGCTTGTCAGAGCTCTCCTTTCGCTGCCATCCTTGCCCCAAACCCCTTCTAGGGATGGAGGGCAGGAGGAGCTGGGCTACTGCAGTGCTGGGGGAGGAACATGTCCATGACAGTGCTCAGGACACTGGATGCTATCTGGTGCTTCAAGAAGGTCAGCTTTAAAAGAGGCCCTGTGCCTGCTGAACATACTAACTGCTTACAGGGCTTAGATGTCAGAAGCCCAGAGCAAGGGTTTGTTAGCTCATGGGAGTTTTCTCATCTGCAGCACTTGCTGTTGCAGACACCAGAGAGTACTTGGCTCATGGTGCAGACAAGAGCAAGGCAGAGAGGCCGAAGATGTCCTGCTTGGGCTGGTCCCAGTGTCCAGGGACAGGGAGGGATGTCTGTTTGCAGATAATGGTTTCTCTGCCCCTTTCTTGCACTTGTGTCAGCAAAGATGGCCAGGGAGAGTGTTTACAAGTGTGTCCTTGCTGAGCGCTGCTATGTGCCAGGAGTTCGCTCCTCAGCTGGAAGATGTGTTCACTGGGGCTTTGTCATTACAACAGCTAAAGCTAAACTGATCTCACTCCGCTTGTTCTGACCTGCGGGTATATGTACCACTTGCCTTCCCTCTACTCTCATCCCCATCTTTGAGGCAGCCCATAATGGAGCAGCTGAGCTGTTTAAAAGACAGGGCAAATAGGAGGCTGCTGCTGTTTGGGTCTTCCCTGGTAATATTTAAAGCTCTGAGTCGTTGTTCTTCCATTGCTGCCTTCCCAGCCATTTTCATCCCTGATGAGGGAACTGTGGTGGCAAAGCAGTGCTGAGGCCTCTCCTGTTGCTATGTCCTTGCAGGACAGGGTATCACAGTGTACCCAGAAACAAGCAGCTTGACTCAGCTGCAGAGCTGTATCTGTTGGGGCAGGAGGATTTATTGTCCCATGGCTGGACCAGACGTTGTGCTTGTTCTGGTGATGTAGGAGGTCACTGAGGGGTAGAGGAGATGCCATACACTGTGGTATTTGCCCTTTTGAGGACTTCCCTCTCTCTTCAGAGGAAGGGCTTCCTTGGCATGGGGTTGGAGGTGTGTGGTGGAACGTGAATGTTCCCCTTGTGTTCTGTTGTGTCTTGCATAGCTTGGGAGGGGATTGTCCTGCATCAGGTGTCTGTATATGTCACCCCATGCTGTATCTTGTCATCTCTGAGCCTTCTGTTACCCTGCAGAATAGCTCTAGTCAGCACCTTGTATGGAAGGGTGGTCGGTCAGTAGTGCTCGGAGGATGTCACACACATCCCATGCTAGCCCTCCCGTGCCATGCCAAGCTCTTCCCCGCTTCCCTCTTCTCCCACTTTTATGGCTGGAAGTGGATTTCTTTGCAGCGGATGGAGGCTACAAGCAGAGCTGGGCTGAGCAGGTGTTCCTGCTGGGGTAGGGTGGAAGTGAACACGTCCCCACACGTCGGGTAAGGAGAGGAGAGGGCTGTGAGGTATAAACAAAGCACTTTCCGAGCAGGCTTCTGTGTTGTATCACAAGTTCCTGGGAAGGTGAAGGCGGGAGCTGGCTGTTGTCTCCTCTCACTGAAGGAATAAAGAGCTTGAATGTTGTACAGGTCCAGCCTCCTCCATGGGGCTGTCGTGTGCTCTTCAGCTCCCTTGTCCCTGCATAGCCAGAGGCTGCTCAGGTGATGTCCTTGTCTTACCTGACATGAGACATTGGTGCTTACCGAGATCCCTGGGCCCAGCTGTGGCCTTCTGGCATGAAGGCAGGTAGAGGTCCTGCTAGAGCTGTGCTAGGCAGGCGACTGGAAGGTAAGGAGCATAAGGGCTGTGCTGAAGGACAGGGTGCCTGGTGCTGGTGTCCTGCTGCAGCAGAGGCCTGGCAGGAAAAGCTTTTAGGTGCTATTCTAGTGTTTTCCTTACTCATGCTTGGACATGTATTCCCCCCTCATCAGTGGTAACTGCAGTGGTTCTCTGGCCACAAGTCACAGGTCTGGTGTTGACATTCATTTCTGCAATGGGATTGTGGAGCTTGTCCTCTGCAAGAACCTTGTGCTTGCTACAGAGGAGGGTCCTGCTCAGGTGGTCAGGGCCATCCTGTCTTGAGCTGTTTGTCTAGTTGCCTTCACCTTAGCATCAGTGTTTGTTCATTTATTACTCCAGTGGCTCTGGGACAGCAGAAGGCAACTTCCTGCTGTCAGTGTGATCAGCTCACCAGTGCTTCACCCCAGATTTCGTATTTCTGCTTAGTAGGTTATTTTCAAGCAGTGGAAGAAAAAACCCTGCTTTTAAGCCCATTGAAACACTTTGTAGGCATTATCATCTATTTTGGGAGACCACCTCTTACCTCTTCCTAGAGTGTTTTTGCAGTACTTCGGGGAATCACGATCCTGTGTAGATGCCTTAAGCAGCCAAATTGCCCTGCAGTGGCATAAACAAGCTTTTGTGTCTAAATTTGTCTATGGAATTTGGTCTCAGTTAATTGGACTGATCATTTCAAAGCCAAACACAATCTGTTGGAGGAACTCGAACAGTGCCAGTGCTGCCGGGGCTGGTTCTTCCCCCTCGCCGTGCGGAAACCTGCTGGTGCTGCAGAAAGCTGTTCTGTGCAAGACCAAAACAGGGTCTGTTGATGTTATTCCGAGTCCTTTGAGGAGCTGGTCACATGTGCTGCTATGAGGTCATTAGGAAGTCTCTCAAATACACAATTTGAGAAGCGATGATGCTATGGCAGAAGTATGCTCCCTCTTCGATGTGAGATGCAAAACTCTCTCTGAAGTGCTGTAGTTTGTAATGGCTCAGTGGGATCTGTTGTTGTGCATATTTGGGCTCATTCCAGTGAAAAAAAAGGAGAGTTGCTTTATCCCAGATTGATTAGTGACTGTACAGCCTGGATCAAGTTACATTGCAGAGGGCATCCAGCAGGGAGCCTGTTGCTGTGCTCAAGTGCTGAAGGCAAGAACGAGTGAACTGCAAGGTCAGCAGTTTCTAGGAGTGCTTTGTGCCTCTGCTGCACACTCCTTCCCCAGGGAAAGGAGCTCCTCAGATCTGTTTGAGTCGGGTCACTGCTCTTCCCAGTGCCATGGGGGCTCTTTGTCACCCAGGAGCCTTCTCCAGGCCCTTGATGTTGCTTCTGTGACGTGCATCTGCTTTGATGCTTTTGTTGATGTTCCCAGTGGACAGGTCAGAAAAGTACTTATCATGGGATCCGCGCCTGGTTTGGGTTGGAAGGGACCTTAAAGCTCCTCCAGCTCCAACCCCTGCCACGGGCAGGGACACCTTCCACTAGAGCAGCTTGCTCCAAGCCCCTGTGTCCAACCTGGCCTTGAACACTGCCAGGGATGGGGCAGCCACAGCTTCTCTGGGCACCCTGTGCCAGCGCCTCAGCACCCTCACAGGGAAGAGCTTCTGCCTAAGAGCTCATCTCAGTCTCCCCTCAGGCAGGTTAAAGCCATTCCCCTTGGCCTGTCCCTACAGGCCCTTGTCCAAAGCCTCTCTCCATTTCAGTGCCTGCTGTGGTCCTCCTTGTCCTGCCACCACAGAGCTTCAGCAATATCACCTGCCCATGCGGTTCCCACTGTCACCCTTAGTAATTCATCCCCCGGGTACCACATTCTGGTTGAGTTTTGTGTTTTCCCCTCCATTTCTGTACTTAAGAGAAAAGGAAAGGACTGATGTCACAGCTGAGGAAAGCAACAGGGGTGATGGATTTGTTGTGATAAGCATGCATTGGAGCCCTGGTGTTTCTTCTGCGCTCTCCCTCTTCCAGGAAAGCCTCTGGAAGGAGAAGTCCAAGTGTCTGAGAAGTGCCTCTGCTGCTTGCAATAATCCCATCAGTTGGATTTGCTTAATAAATGACTAGAGCTGCCTTTTGCTTATTACTTTTCCCTCCTGCACACGTGCTGGTGGAGAAGGGATGCGCGGTGCGCGGTGCTGCGATGTTCCCACCGGGATCTTCCCTGCGAGCACAGGCAGTTGTGTTAAACCAGAAGGTGAAGGCGGCCGGGCCGGGCCTGGCTCGCCCCTGGGACTACACGGGCCCTGCTTCCTGAGCAGGAGAGCTGCTTTCTGTTGTGGTTTCACTAAATGAATTCAAAGCTTGGCCTTCCTCCAGGCGCAGTCCGGGCCGGGTGCCAGCGGAGCAGCCCCGAGGGAGAGCACTGGAGCAAGGAGGGGCCAACAGCAGGGAAGAGCAGGGGAATCCAAGCAGGCGGATTTGCCTAGCAAACAGCTCTGTTTCCATCTGCTGGGTCAGGAGTTGCTATAGGAACTGGGATGATAGAGGCAGGGCCATCTCCTGGGCCTGTCTGTGTGTGCGGAGGGAGGGAGGAGGGAGGAGTTACTCAAGTTTGAACATATCATGTGTGCTGGTGGAAAGTTGCAAGGAATGTCGAAACTACAGCCTGGCTCGACCTATGGAGCTCAACAGAGACATGGCAGTTGTTCCCTGTGCTCAGCAGGCCCCGGGCAAGGCAGGTAGGGTCCTCCCAGCTTGACTCTGCTCTCCTCCTCGTGTGCTTCCGATGTTGGATCACGCACAAACCCGTGGAGGCTGGCTGGAAGTGGAGGGGGGCTGTAGCGGTGGCCGTGCCGGGATGTGGAGGCTGTGCTCCCTGGCTGGCAGGAGAGGGTGGCTCTTTGCGCCCTGGTTTTCCTCCCGCAGGTGCCGGAGGGTTCACAGACTGTGGGTATTCCCGTGTTTCATGCCCTGGGATCCATTGTGGGGTGGGAATGTGAAGCTGGCTGATGTGTTCTCCTGGGCAGGAGTGGTTTGTGGGGCTGTGGCTCTCTGGGAAAGCCCATGGTGGTAGGGCTCAACTCCGACACGTTGTGCTGGGATGTGTCAGGGCTAAGGGGGAGTCAGATACCCCAGGCTGGTGCTTGTGATGGTGGGACAGTGAGGGGACATGGTCCTGTCCCCCAAGCCCCAGCAGCTCCTGCCCTGTGCATATTCCACGGCAGTCTTGTGTCTCACCTCCGGGGAGATGCAGACCTCCCCGTTGCCTCCTGATGCACCTCCTGCAGGCTTTATCACTGTCACACTTCCTTGGACTCGCATTTAGCCTGAACCACAGGAGTATGGATGTGCAGGAAGCTGCTTCTGAGAGCCCTTGTTGTTAGGGTTAGGTGTGTAGCAGCCCTCCAGGTAAAATCTGATTAATTCCCCAGTAAACCCATTTTTTCCAGATGCTGAAAACCATCCCAAATAAATAGCTGTGTTTGCACAGGGTCACTCAGTGCTCCGCAGGTATTTACTGAGTAGGCTTGGCTGAAATTTCATCTGCCTGTTTTGTGTCACAGAGAAGCTCTGCTACAGAAAGCCAATAATGATAAAGCAAAGGTGGGCAGTTGTTTCTCTCCTTGAGGAGCCGCACGATAAGCAGCCGAGAGCTGCAATGTGATCTCTGTACACAGAGCAAAGCTTGCCAAACTGGATTAGATCACAGCCCACCTACTCGGGCCCGGCTTGTCTCGGGCAGCGGCTGCTTGGCACATTGAGCACAAAGACCCAGGCGCTCAAATGCAGGCAGATGTGGAATAACCTGCCCTGTAGGAGGTCACTCTCTGGCTACATTTACTGGTTTGCTTATACCTGGCTAGCTGTAAATGTATATCCAGTGTATTCTTTCCTCGACTCTGCGAATGGAATCGCAGATGTTCTTATTATGTAGGTCCGCTTCCTGTGTTTTATGGAATTACTCCCACGTTGCTCTGTGGCAACATATCCCAGAGGCTTCATGCGCATGGTATGCCCTGGAATTTCATTTCCTCAGTTTTAATGTGTTGTTTTTTAATTTCAGTTTGTTTTCAATATGGGAAAGGTAAATGGGATCCTTCTTTTAGGTCTAGGCATCCTTATTTTACATATTTCTTTTTCTCCCCCTCATCTCTCCCGTTTCTTGCGTTTGCCTCAAAGAATCCCAGGATTTTCCTTATAGCTACCTGCCTTCTGTGTAATTGCTTCTCTGTGGGCTCCCGTTTCCTGCTCTGCCTTGAGCAAAAGTGATCAGAATCAGCCATTCTCTATAGCTGTGAGATGCTGTTAGAGCTTTTCCGATGTGCTTGTCTTCTCCTTTGTTTATGAGCAAAACGTTTACTTTGACTGCTTGAAACACATAGTGGTAACAAAGGTCTTCTGGGCTGTGTCTGTAGGCATGGTGGGTGTTTTGCTGGGCCCTTCAGTTAATGGAAATTTCATCTCTGTACATGAGAAATTAAACTTTATCTTGGGGAGTTGAACTTGTAAATACCAAACCCAGCAGAACATGGTGAGACCTGCCTGGAAATCCCCGCCAGAGGAGGAGCCTCCAGGCTTGGTGCAGCAATTTGAGCTGATCCCTAAGTGTCGCCGCTCATTGCTCCCATCTTTGCCAGGCACTTCATAAATCAAACGCTAAAACCACTTTGCTTGAGCAAACTTTAATACACACAGTGTAGCAGATGTGTGTTAAAGACTGGGCTGTGTGGTTAGGTGCGCAAAGAAATGATACCCACTGAGGACACAACCTGCTTTGTCCCTTCTGGTTCAGGCCAGTGTGTTGTGGGAAGGGAGAAAAGCTCTGATAGAGTCACAGCCTGGTTTGTGCTGGAAGGGACCTTAAAGCTCCTCCAGCTCCAACCCCTGCCACGGGCAGGGACATCTTCCACTAGAGCAGCTTGCTCCAAGCCCCTGTGTCCAACCTGCCCTTGAACACTGCCAGGGATGGGGCAGCCACAGCTTCTCTGGGCACCCTGTGCCAGCGCCTCAGCACCCTCCCAGGGAAGAGCTTCTGCCTAAGAGCTCATCTCAGTCTCCCCTCTGGCAGGTTAAAGCCATTCCCCTTGGCCTGTCCCTACATCCCTTGTCCCAAGCCCCTCTCCAGCTTTCCTGCAGCCCCTTCAGGCACTGGAGCTGCTCTCAGGTCTCCCCTTCAGGAGCCTTCTCTTCTCCAGGCTGCCCCAGCCCAGCTCTCTCAGCCTGGCTCCAGAGCAGAGCTGCTCCAGCCCTCGCAGCATCTCCATGGCCTCCTCTGGCCTCTCTCCAACAGCTCCAGGTCCCTCTTGTGCTGCTGCCCCAGAGCTGGATCAGGGCTGCAGGGGGGGTCCCCCCAGAGCACAGCAGAGGGGCAGGATCCCCTCCCTGAGCTGCTGCTCACGCTCTGGGGGTGCAGCCCAGCACATGGGGGGAGGTTCTCAGGCACACACTGGAGCTGGGTCATGGGAGTTTGCTGCGTTTTGGTTTTTGGAGTTAACTTCAGTTGTGGAATGCAGTAACTGATAATTTGGGTTCTTTCTGATACTGGTAAAGCTGCTTCAAGTTTGGTCTTTTTGTAGCTGTATGGTGTGGCGTTTTACACTTAGTTTTTGCCAGGAGCCCAGCAGAGACAGTGGTGCTCCTTAAGCAAAGGGCAAGTCTGGGTACCAGTGGCAGGTGTACCGAAGCTTTGCTTTATGAAGAGATGTTTCACAAAGCTCATAAAAAGCAGCTTCTGGTGGTATCAGCATTTCTGTGGTGGCTCTAGAGGGCCAGCTGAGTGAGTAGATGTTCCAAATAGTGCTTCTGGTTTGATTTTCACTGAACCGTTTCTTAGAGTTTGGCTTCCACCCTTGCAAAACCCAGCAGCTTCTCAGCTTGGTGCCGCGTGTGTTGCGGGTTTGCTTCTTGTTTTGCAGAGTCTGTCCCAGTTTTCATGTTTTATCTCTTAAAAAGATTCTGCCAGGGGCAATTAACAAGAAGTTGTAGATAATGAGTAGCTGCTATTGTAAAGCAGGTATTTTGGGATGTAGGCAAAGCTAAAGATAACTAGAAGCACAGTGACTATCTCAAGGCAGTGAGAAATATTTTCATGTCTGTATAACAAAATAAATGTCACCAGTGGTGTTTATGTAGTGGGGAAGGTTAAAAAACCCCAACTGATTGCTAGTAACAATATTGAGGGGTAAGAAGTTTCCTGTGTTTGGGCAGGAGCTGGATGATGTCCTCTCCCATATGAGGATGTGGAAATGCCTCCCCTTGCGCTGGTTGTGGGGGAGGGCGTTAAACACAAGATAACAGGCAGAAGGCTTTGAAATCGGAGCAAGATAGGGACTTGTTTGTTTAAAACCAACTGGCAAAGCAGCTTTCTGACTCCTGGCTGCCGATGGGTAATAAATCCGGGAGGACCAAAGGAGCTCCTGAAGTTTGGGAAAACATAAATGTTGTGGAAGTGGCTTAAAATAGCATGGGAGCAGGTGACCAACAGGCAGAGCCTGACCTCCGGCCAGAGCAGGATCGGGGGAGCTGCTGCATCCCTACATCAATGTCACATTAAAGAAGGCACATGCTCTGTGGTCCATGCGCTCTGATGGAAAGCGGATCATGTGCAGAAAGCCTTCAGATGGTGGTTTTTAATGAGAATCCTGTACTGGCTGCCAAAAGGAACACCTGGATACCTGGATCCTGGCTGCGTTCCCTGCTGTTGACTGAATGCTGTTCCTCCCAGGAGGCAGAAGAGGCTCTGCTTTGGGAACAGGAGGTGTTGGGTGCCACTGGGCAAAGTGGTCTCCTTTGCCCTGTGCAGGGTCTGGCCTATCCTTCATGCTCAGCTTGGGTGCCTCACCACTGCTGGTAGCTGGTGGCTCTGAGTGAGGAGCACCCTCCTGAGCTGTGTTGGTTGTGCCTGGTCTGTGCTGTCCATGTAGCCGGTCCATGTCCTCTTGCTGTGCTAAGGTGGCAGGGTCTTGGTTTCCATTTGCTGATCAGAACCGTGCGAACAAGTTGATTTATAAAGTGCCACCTGATACCTCTCAAAATAGGTACCGGTGGGAACGTGATCCGTGCAGTCCTTAAACACAGGGCCATGGAATAGTGCTCCAGCCACGCTCTAGGCTCAGCATGGGACAAACTCAGTTCCTAGTATGCCCATGAAGAAGCTGGTAGAAGTGGTAGTAAAATCTGACCAGAGCTGTCCCACTGCTGAGTGGAGACTTGATCTCAGGAGTGGTGACTTGGGAGAAAACATTAAGTAACTTAGTGCTGGAATTTGGCTTCACTGAGGAGGTTTATTTGGGACAGGAGAAGACTTCGGGATACTGCAGAGCAGGTTATCAAGGAGACAGAAACAGGCTCTTCACTGAGATGTGTAGCAGGAGAGTTGGCTGTGATCAACTGAGGTAACAGGAGGTTCTGCCTTGGCATAACAGGGGTGAAGTTTTCCCTCTGCAGGCAGGCAATGGAAGAGGTTGTCCGGAGAGGTGGGGGAGCCTCTCATCTTGGAGGCTTTTAATACCCAGCTAGACAAAGTCCTGCCCAGGCTCTGGAGTTGGTGCTAGCCCTGCTCAGAGCGGGAGGTGGGATTAGGTGCTCTCCTGAGGCTCTCCTCCAGCCCCAATAACTGTGCTGCTCAGTAACCTGATCTCCTCCTGAATGCAGTTTTGAGTACAGTTGAGTAAAAGGCTCTGGTGGAGCCCCTTGAGAGCAGGGAGGGAGGAAGGTGGTTTAGATTGAGTGCTCTTAA